CATCAAAATCTCCTGTAAATATGCAGAGATCATGTACAAGTTCCAAGGTTATACAAAATATATATGCGTATATGCAAATGTGATCTTCCTTAAGGCGTTCAAAATCTCCAACATCAATGGCCAGCTTCAAACATCATCACGAACATCCCCTACGATAGAAACAACTTAGTGGTGTACAAACTATAGGTTTGGAGCTCATAAATTCACCAAGTTATCATTCTCAAGTCAAGGACAGCACGATCGAAACGAAATCAGTAAATCAAGTAAACAATATACAAGGAGTATCAAGTTCAATATATAAAGGTCTAAATGCAAGAATGCTCATAGCACAACTTTTCAAGAGATTTAATAACAAGGCTCACACAATATATACATCATGTGGTCACACCAAGCACAAGCAGGTATCAAGTAGGGTAAAAACCCAATAATGAAGAGAACCAAGAACCATATTAATAAAATGGCTTCCTAGTTTGTACTTAAAATCGGCAACTTCCATTCTTAAGACGAACTAAAAATCCAGAGTCAAGATGGCAAACGATATGAACCAAGAGGCATGCCAAGAGTGACAAAGTCACAGCCACAAGTAGGACAAGGTCCCAACAAGAGTACTACGTGATCAAACAATCCGTACAAGTGGGTGACTTACATAAGTGTCTTTAATGTATTAAAGAATACCAATACGACAATGCAAAGTCACAACAGGTAACTAAGGTACCAAGATAACTTTCACATATACCAGCAGGTAAAAAGAGTATAGGTATAAGTTTATAAACAAACCTCAGTTCTTTAACACAAAAATAGTCCAACAAAACTCCACGACTCAAACGGTAGACCTAGCAGCGTATCAAAGTCTTCAACTTGTACACAAGGATATAGAACTTTAAACAAATGAATTCAATAACTTATTTGATTTCTAGTAGCTCAATAATGATGACGTAAAATAGGGTTATCACCACAAGTAAGCCTATACTCTACAAATACGACTATGCTCCCAAATAGTAAATTCTGGCCATCCTAGTGCATCATGTCGCAATTAAAATTTGAAATGGCAAACGGCAAAAATGGATTGTATACTCTTCATGAAAGATGTGGGTACATCTCTTAAGGTTGCAAGCAACCAAGAATCACCGCAAAATGTATTTTGGATAAAAAGATATGGTCAAAAGACTAACAGTTGTCCATACAGTATTTCAAAACTTCAGAATCTGGAAAGAACTTGTCCTATGATGCGTCCCATATTTCGAATCCAAAACAACTAAATTAGAGTTTAATATAAACATAAGAGTGTACATATGTGAATTATCTTTCCAAATATTATTTACAGTAAATAAAGTTCTATAGAACTAGATATGCTTAATCTAATAAACGCTACCCAGCTTAAAAACAGGTTTTACCTGTTACCATAAAGAATAGTGTAACTTGATTTCCAGCAAAAAGGACCAAAAATTTCTCTTGTGATCTTGAAGAACAACAGGTTAGATAATGTTCTAAGGGACTTATGCTTCAGCTGAAACGTATTTCCTAAGAGGAGGTGTCAAATTATTGTAACACAAGAGGTGCTTATCATATACACCGCTGTCCATAAAAGTTGGCTGCCCAAATACTTGTGTGCTGCCCAAATGCATACATATACACCTATATATAAATATATATATCCTTCACCTCCTTTTAAACCTATACATATTTCTAATTAAAACATTACGCAAATACCCCATGCAATACATTAAATTACGATGACAATTATTTTAAACAAGGTTGCATATATAACATTATTTCAAGTTCCCAAAATAAGAATTAAACATATTGTAATAATTAAGCAGTGGTTTATCGACATGCGACTCTTGTTAGAATTTTTGGGGTGTTACAACTCTCTCCTCCTGAAAGAAATTTCATCTCAAAATTTACCTTACAATAGTCCCGGAACAAGTGCGATACGGGTTCTCATGTCTTCTTTTCTTTCCCACGTAGCTTCTTTTCCAGAATGTTTCCTCCAAAGTACCTTTACTAAGGGAATTCTCTTGTTTCTAACTTGCTTTATTTCTCGAGCTTAATTAGAATAGGTTCTTCATTAAACGTCAAGTCAGTTTAACCTCAATAGACTCTACTGGAAGAACATAAGATGGATCAGAACGATATCTTCTAAGCATAGAAACATGGAAGACATTGTGAATCTTGTCTAACTCAGGTGGCAAAGCCAGTTTATATGCAACTGGTCCAACCTTTTCAAGTATCTCATAAGGTCCGATAAATTGGGGACTAAGCTTTTCTTAATGGCCAAATCTCATAATCTTTTTCCATGGAGACACCTTTAAGAATACTTTATCTCCAACTTGATATTCAATGTCACGCCTTTTAAGATCAGCATACCACTTTTGTCTATCCGAAGAAATCTTTAGACGATCTTTGATAATTTTTACTTTGTCCTTTATTTGTTGCACAATTTCAGGACCAACAAGTTTTCTTTCACCAAGTTCACTCCAACAAAGAGGGGTCAGACATTTTCTTCTGTATAAGGCTTCATAGGGAGGGATTCCAATACTCGATCGGTAACTGTTATTGTAAGCAAATTCAATCAAAGCCAAGTGTGTGTCCCAACTACCCACAAACTACATAATGCAAACTCGAAACATATCCTCCAAAATTTGTATCACTATTTCCGACTGGCCATTTGTTTGAGGATGGAACGAAGTGCTAAATTTCAATTTAGTACCCAAAACTTCTTGCAAGCTGCCCCAAAATCTAGATGTAAACCTTGGGTCTCGATCGGATACAATAGATACAGGTATCCCATGTAGTCTTACAATCTCATTAATGTACAATTCTGCTAAACGCTCAAGTGAGTAATCCATCCTGATTGCTAAGAAGTGAGCACTCTTGGTTAGCCTGTCCACAATCAACCATATTGCATCATGGTTCCTTTGAGTGCGAGGAAGTCCTGAAATAAAGTCCATTGTTATTCTCTCCCATTTCCATTCCGACATCGACAAGGGCTGTAGTACACAACTAGGACTTGATGTTCTGCCTTTACTTGTTGACAAATCAAACATTTAGAGATGAACTCTGCAATGTCTCTCTTCATACCATTCCACCAATAATTTTCTTTGATGGTCTGGTACATCTTTGTACCTCTATGATGCATTGCATATGATGCAGTATGTGCTTCATTCAATATTTCTCTCCTCAATTTGTCATCATTAGGGACGCAAAACCTGTTTTGATAAAATAAGCCCCTATCCTCCGTAAATGTAAAATCAAGTTTTTTCCAACTTTGAACTTCTCTGGTCAATTTTACAAATTTCTCATCTAACTTTTGTACTTCTTTCACTTGTTCAAGTAATATTGGCTTTACTTAAAAACTAGCAACAACTGAACCATTTGAATCATTTATAAAACAAACATTGAAGGCTCTTAAGTTAAGGATCAAGGATAAAGGACTCAAAGAAATTCTTGCGAAGGATTTCCGACTTAAGGCATCTACAACCACATTGGCTTTACCTGGATGATAATCAATCGTGCAGTCATAATCCTTAATTAGTTCAAGCCATTTACGTTGTCAAAGGTTTAGCTCCTTATGAGTACCCAAGTAGTTTAAGCTCTTGTGATCAGTCAATAAATGACATTTCTCTCCATACAAATAATGCCGCCATATTTTTAAAGCAAATACTATAGCAGCAAGTTCAACGTCATGAGTAGGATAATTCAATTCATGCGGTTTTAATTTTTGAGAGGCGTAAGAAATAACCTTCCCTTTTACATCAAAACGCATCCTAGACCATTGTGAGAAACATCACTATAAACTACATATTCTTTCCCTTCAATCGTTAGAGTAAGTATATGAGCTTGAGTCAACAAGGATTTAAGAGTTTCAAATCTCTCTTGACAGTTGTCATCCCAAATAAACTTTACTTCCTTATGCAAGTGCTTAGTCAAAGGGGAGGCGATAATGGAGAAGCCTTTCACAAATCTTCTATAGTATCCTGCTAAGCCCAAGAAACTTCATACTTTCGTTGGACATTTAGGAGGTCTACATTCAACAACCGCTTGTATTTTACTAGAATCCACTTTCACACCTTCTGTTGATACAACATGTCCCAAAAAAGTTACTTCATCAAGCCATAATTCACACTTGGAAAGTTTAGCATAAAGCTCTTTCTCTCTCAAAATTTGCAAAATAATCCGGAGGTGTTTATTATGGTTTCATTACTTCTGGAAAATATTAAAATATCAACTATAAAAACAACCACAAACTGATCAAGATAAGGTTTGAATACTCGATTCATTAGATGCATAAATACCGCAGGAGCATTTGTCAATTCGAATGGCATCACCAAAAATTCATAATGACCATACCGAGTTCTAATAGCAGTTTTAGAAATATCATTCTCTCTAACCCGCAATTGGTGATATCTAGACCTTAAATCAATTTTTGAGAATACTTTAGCACCCTTAAGTTGGTCAAACAAATCATCAATCCTTGGCAGCGGATATCTTTTCTTGAGTGTTATTTTGTTCAATTGTCTATAGTCAATACAAAGCCTAAGAGTGGCATCTTTCTTCCTTACAAATAAAACAGGGGCTCCCCAAGAGGAAACACTAGGTCAAATAAAACCTTTCTCAAGAAGTTCTTGCAGTTGAGATTTCAATTCTCTTAATTTTCCTGGAGCCATTCTATAAGGAGTGATTAAAATAGGGGTAGATCCATGGATAAGCTCGATTGGAAATTCAACCTCTTGTTCCGGGGGCAATCCCGGAAGGTTTTCTGGAAATACTTTTGGAAAATCACATATAGTAGACATGTCTTTAATACAAGGACACTTCAATTGTATATCAACTATGTGAGCCAGGTATACCCCACAACCTTGACGCATCAAATTTCTTGGCAAGGCTGCAGAAATAATAGTAGATGTCATTGATCTTTCACCTTGTAAAATGATGTGTGAAAATGTAGGATCTTTAAAAGTCACATACTTAGACCTACAATCTACCACCGCATGATATTTATAAATCCAATCCATCCTGATAATAACATCAAAATCCTTGAAGGGCATTTCAATCAAATCTACAGGAAAGACTAGGTTTTGAATCACAAAGGGACAATCTTGATAAACTCGATTACACATAATTTGATAACCCAAAGGACTTTCAACTAGCACATTATAATCAAGTCTCACAGATTTCACATTTTCGGGAAGAACAAGTGATGAACAAATATAGGAATGTGTAGAACCAGGATCAAACAATGTAAACACACATAAGCCAAATAAGTGAAATTTACCGACAACCATGTCTTGTCCATCCTAATCATACTCCTGCCTCATCGCATAACCGTGTGCAGTAGCCTTTTGCCCACTAGCTTGATTAACTACACTTGTACCTGCTGCCACAGTGTTTTTAGGTCTTGCACCTCTATTAGTTTGAGGAGGATTAACAGAAGGTTTATGAACTAAGCCTTCAGATTAAAAGGAAGGAGCATTTCTAGGATTAGAACAATCTTTCACTTTATGATCAAAGCTCCCACAATTGAAACATGCACCAGAAGCTCTCCTACAAGTGCCATAATGATTCTTTCCACATTGTGGACAAGAAGGAACGCGAGGCTTGCTTTCGCCATAATTTGGAGTGCTAGCTGTAGAAACTTCTGATTTGTTTTGCCTTTGTTGAGGTGGCCTGTTATCAATACCAGCCTTAGAATTATCAACCTTCCCCTTTAAGATGTACCCCCACAATCTGGTCTAGGCTTTCGGAATCTGTTTTCATTTCTACTAGTTTCTTCTTTATCAAGTCATTCCCAAGTAAAAGCAACAGACACTAACTTACAAAATTTCTCATGTTGCAGGATCGCCACATTTTTCCTAATGGAATCATTTAAGCAGTCTTCAAATTCCTGCACTTTCTTTTTCCTCTTTAATAATACCACCAGCATAGCGAGAGAGCCTTAGCAACTTCTATTCGTATTCAGCAGTAGATATGCCTCTATGCCACAGTTCTTTAGCACAAAAACAGTCCAACAAAACTCCACGAGTCAAACCGTAGACTTAGCAGCGTATCAAAGCCTTCAACTTGTACACGAGGTTATACAACCTTAAAAAAATGAATTCAATAACTTATTTACTTTCTAGAATCTCAATAATGATGACATAAAATGGGGTTATGATCACAAGTAAGCCTAGCCTGTACAAATACGACTATGCTCCCAAACACTAAATTCTGGCCATCCTAGTACATCATGTCGCAACTAAGATTTGTAGTGGTAAACGGCAAAACTCGACTGTATACTCTTCATTAAAGATGTGGCTACCTCTTTTAAGGTTGCAAAAAACCAAGAATCACCACAAAATGTATTTTGGATAAAAAGATATATTCAAAATACTAACAGTTGCCCATACAGGATTTCAAACTTCAGAATCTGGACAGAACTTGTCCTATGATGCGTCCCATATTTCGAATCCATAACAACTAAATTAGAGTTTACATAAACATAAGAGTTGTACATATACGAATTATCTTTCCAAATAAGATTTATTCACAGTAAAAAAAGTTCTATAGAACGAGATACGCTTAATCTACTAAACGCTACCCAGCTCAAAAACAACTCTTACCACTTACCAAAAAGAAGAGTGTAACTCGATTTCCAGCCAAAATGACCAAGATTTTCTCTAGTGATCTTGAAGAACAACAGGTTAGTTAATGTTCTAATGAACTTATACTTCAGGTGACACGAATTTCATAAAAGGAGGTGTCAAAATATAGTAACACAAGAGGTGCTTATCATATACACAGTTGTCCATAAAAGTTGGCTGCCCAAATACTTGTGTGCTGACCAAATGCATACGCATACACCTATAGATATATATATCTTTCACCTCCCTTTAAAGCTATACATATTTCTAATTAAAACATTCCACAAATACCCCCATACAATACATTAAATTACGATGACAATTATTTTAAACAAAGTTGCAAATATAACATTATTTCAAGTTCCCAAAATGAGAATTAAACATATTGTAATAATTAAGCAGTGGTTTATCGACATGCGATTCTTATTAGTATTTTTCGGGTGTTACACAACTTGGCATAGTCTTCGGCCAAGAATGAAGTCTTAACCGGAATGAAGTGGGCTGATTTAGTCATCCTATCAATAATGACCCAAATAGAATCATGTTACCTTCTAGTACGGGGTAAACCCACTACAAAGTCCATGTTCACATCCTCTCATTTCCAAGTAGGAATTTCTATATATTGGAACAAACCTCCGGGTTTTTGATGTTCGGTCTTAACTTGTTCACAATTCAGACATTTGGCTACAAAACCCGCTATATCCTTTTTCTATCATCCATTCCACCAATAGACTTTCCGTAGATCACGGTACATCTTGGTGGCTCCCTGATGAATAGAATATCACGAACCATGAGCCTCGTTTAAAATTTTCTCCCTTAAGCCATCAACATCCGAAACACATAACCTACCTTGGTACCTAAGCACCCCATATTCCCCTTCGGAGAAAGCCTCAACAGATTTATTAAGAACCGATTCATTCAACTCCATAAAAATAGGGTCAAGATGTTGCTTAGACTTCACATCAACAACAAGGGATGATTCGGAGCTATGATGAACCATAAATCCACCCTTGGTGGAATCAACTAGTTAGACACCTAATCGGGCCAACCTATGCACATCACGAACCAATTCTTTTTTCTCTTCTTCTACATGAGCCACACTACCCATGGACAACCTACTCAAGGAATCCGCAACTACATTAGCTTTGTTGGGGTGGTAAACGACACTCGTGTCATAATCCTTTAAAAGCTCTAACCACCTTCTTTGTTAGAGATTCAAATTGTTCTGGGTAAACACATATTGAAGACTCTTATGGTCGGTAAACACATCTACGTGTACCCTATACAGATGTTGTCTCCATATATTTAAAGCATAAACCACTGCCACTAAT